GACCCACTCGCGACCCACCCCGCGACCCACCCGCAACCCACCCGCGACCCACCCCGCGACCCACCCAAAATTTTCGGCGCCTGCGGCGGGTTTCTTTTGCATACTTTCCAGGTGGAGAACCTGCGACCCACCCGCGACCCAAACCGCGCCTGCGACCCACCCGCGACCCACCGCGACCCACCCCCGCGACCCACCCAAAATTGTCGGCGCTTGCGGCGGGTTTCTTTTGCATTCGTTCCAGGTGGAGAACCTGCGACCCACCCGCGACCCAAACCGCGTTCAGTGTACAAGTAAAACTTTTCGGCGCCTGCGGCGGGCTGTTTTTGAATTCCTTCCAGGTGGAGGTGGAGAGCCCGCGACCCACTTGCGACGCAAACTGTGTTCACTGAACACGCCAAAACTTTGGCGCCTGCGGCGGGTTTCTTTTGCATTCGCTCCAGGTGGAGAACCTGCGACCCAAACCGCGTTCAGTGTATAAATCAAAATCAGAGTGAGGGGGCCCGAACGGCCATTCACTGTCCCTGGGTGCGTGGCTGAAGTGAGGATCCACGGCGAGGATTCTTGTTGTTGTTTTGTTGCGTCGTCCCCCCCCCCCGCTCCGCGACCCGCCCGCGACCCACCCGCGACCCACACGCGACCCACCCCGCGACCCACCCGCGACCCACCCCGCGACCCACCCGCGCGACCCACCCGCGACCCACCCACGACCCACCCCGCGACCCACCCGCGACCCACCCGCGACCCACCCCACGACCCACCCGCGAACCACCCGCGACCCACCCCGCGCTTGCCCCCTCACTCTTACCCGCAATTGCGGGGTGCTACGCATTTCCGTTCCACTGGTAATTCGTTGCCGAGCTCTCAACGTACCCGCGGGAGGCGCGTTTCCTGCATCACAATGGCAACGTCCACCCGTTGATTTCGACAGTCTGTGTGAACGCGCGCACGGCCTGAGCACCCATGAGCGAGATCACCAAACTACGGGAATCCGCAGCAGGGCTCGTCGTGCCAAAGAGCCGCGCCCGGGCGATGGCTTCCTCGGGGGTTCTGCGCAGTCCGTCATAGTATCGGCGCCCTGCTAACCCCTGCTAGTGCAACTGGTGAAATGCAAACGCGGGACCTGCCCCCTGCGCAACCCCCTTGGGATTGCCACGACCCGTAGCCTTGGGGCGGATAGACACCGCGGTGAGGGGCCACTAATTGCGTTGCGTGGAGAAAGTGCCACGCTTGCCACGCTCCGCGACCCTGGGACGGATGGAGTCCGTGGTGGGAAATCACACTCTATGCACCCCCCTGCGGCGTGGAGAAAGTTCCACGCTTGCCACGCCCCGCGACCCTGGGACGGATCGACACCGCGGTGAGGGACCACCCCATGCGCATCCCCCGTGGCGTGGAGAAAGTGCCACGTCTGCCACGCCCCGCGACCTTGCCTGGGACGGATAGAGACCGTGGTGAACGACCACCCATTGTGCCCCCCTGTGGCGTGGAGGAAGTGCCACACTTGCCACGCCCCGCGACCCTGGGACGGGTAGAAACCGCGGTGGGGGACCGCCCATTGCGCACTCTTGCGGTGTGGAAAGGGTTGCCACGCTTGCCACGCCCCGCAACCCTGGGACGGATAGACACCGCAGTCAGGGACCACCCCCATACGCATCCCCCACGGCGTGTAGACAGTGCCACGGCTTCCGCATCCCGCGACTTTGGGACGGATAGAGACCGCGGTAAGGGACCACCCCTTGACCCCCCGTGGCGTGAAATTTACCCTGTGACGTACCCAACCCATTTGTATCAATGGAAACGAGGAGTTGGCCGAAATTTGTATGGACAATCAACTTGATGTGTAAGCTACTTGGGAGGCGTCACTGTGCTGGGCCCCGCAAGCAGGCCTCGAAAGTGGCGACAGTTTCACAGATCGCAGCCCCCCAGGGATTGCGAGGTCTAATTTGAATCTGCGGTGGGTACCCACTGTGCTGGGCCCCCCCAGCAGGCCTCGAAAGTGGCGACAGTTTCACAGATCGCAGCCCCCCAGGGATGGCGAGGTCTAATTTGAATCTGCGGTGGGTACCCACTGTGCTGGGCCCCCGCCTCGAAAGTGGCGACAGTTTCACAGATCGCAGCCCCCCAGGGATGGCGAGGTCTAATTTGAATATGCGTGTGGGTACCCACTGTGCTGGGCCCCGCCAGCAGGCCTCGAAAGTGGCGACAGTTTCACAGATCGCAGCCCCCCCAGGGATGGCGAGGTCTAATTTTGTATCTGCGGTGGGTACCCACTGTGCTGGGCCCCGCCAGCAGGCCTCGAAAGTGGCGACAGTTTCACAGATCGCAGCCCCCCAGGGATGGCGAGGTCTAATTTGAATATGCTGTGGGTACCCACTGTGCTGGGCCCCCCAGCAGGCCTCGAACGTGGCGACAGTTTCACAGATCGCAGCCCCCCAGGGATGGCGAGGTCTAATGTGAATCTGCGGTGGGTACCCACTGTGCTGCAGGCCTCGGCAAACGTGGCGACAGTTTCACAGATCGCAGCCCCCCAGGGATGGCGAGGTCTAATGTGAATCTGCGGTGGGTACCCACTGTGCTGGGCCCCATCAGCAGGCTTCGAAAGTGGCGACAGTTTCACAGATCGCAGCCCCCCAGGGATGGCGAGGTCTAATTTGAATCTGCGGTGGGTACCCACTGTGCTGGGCCCCGCCAGCAGGCCTCGAAAGTGGCGACAGTTTCACAGATCGCAGCCCCCCAGGGATGGCGAGGTCTAATTTGAATCTGCGGTGGGTACCCACTGTGCTGGGCCCCGCCAGCAGGCCTCGAAAGTGGCGACAGTTTCACTGATCGCAGCCCCCCAGGAATGGCGAGGTCACATTTGAGTCCGCCGTGGGTACCCACTGTGCTGGGCCCCCCCCAGGGATGGCGAGGTCCCATTTGAGTCCGCCGTGGGTACCCACTGTCCTGGGCCCCGCAGCAGGCCGCGAAACTGGCGACAGTTTCACAGATCGCAGCCCCCCAGGGACGGCGAGGTCCCATTTGAGTCCGCCGTGGGTGCCCACTGTGCTGGGCCCCCCAGCAGGCCTCGAAAGTGGCGACAGTTTCACAGATCGCGGCCCCCCAGGGATGGCGAGGTCCCATTTGAGTCCGCCGTGGGTACCCAATGTGTTGGGCCCCCCAGCAGGCCGCGAAAGTGGCGACAGTTTCACAGATCGCAGCCCCCCAGGGATGGCGAGGTCTAATTTGCGTTTGCGGTGGGTACCCACTGTGCTGGGCCCCCCAGCAGGCCTCGAATGTGGCGACAGTTTCACAGATCGCAGCCCCCCAGGGATGGCGAGGTCCCATTTGAGTCCGCAGTGGGTACCCGCTGTGCTGGGCCCCCCAGCAGGCCTCGAAAGTGGCGACAGTTTCACAGATCGCAGCCCCCCAGCTGGCACGCAGCGACGAGCGAGGCGAAAGGCAGGGGGGAAGAGAGGGACGGGAGGGGGTGGGAAGGAGACGCGCGAGTAGTGATCTATTCAAAACGAGAACACAACGCAGGAGGGTTGGGGAAAAAAACCCACGCTTGCCACGCCCCGCGACCTTTGGACGTTTAGACGCCGCGGTGAGGGACCACCCTTTGCGCACCCCCTGCGGTGGGAAGACAGTGCCATATGCTTGCCACGCCACGCGACCCTGGGACGCATAGAAACTGCGATGAAGGACCATCCATTGTGCACCCCCTGTGGCGTAGAGAACATGCCACGCCTGCCGCGCCCCGCGACCCTGGGACGGATAACGACCGCGGTGAGGGACCACCCCTTGCGCACCCCCTGTGGCGCCGAGAAAGTGCCACGCTTGCCACGCTTTCCGACCCTGGCACGCATAGAGGCCGTGCTGAGAGACCACCCCGTGTGCACCCCGTCTGATGTCGAGAAAGTGCCACGCCTGCCACGCTCTCCGACCCTACACGCCAGGCGTACACTTGCGTTGTGTGTGTGTGTTGTGTTGTGTTGCGGTGCGTTGCGTTGTGGTGTGGTGTGGTGTGGTGTGGTGTGGTGTGGTGTGTTGTGCTGTGCTGTGCTGTGCTGTGCTGTGCTGTGCTGTGCTGTGCTGTGCTGTGCTGTGCTGTGCTGTGCTGTGTTGTGTTGTGTTGTGTTGTGTTGTGTTGTGTTGTGTTGTGTTGTGTTGTGTTGTGTTGTGTTGTGTATGCGCGGGTGTATGCATGCGAGGGGCTATATGTACACGCGTGTCTCGTGTCCATCCCGTGCATGTGTTGCGCGTAAGTGAGGGAGGACGGAGGAGGAGGGGAGGAAGGAGACGCGTGACCGATGCGGCAAGGAAGAAAACCAAACCCTACTAAGGATGTGAGACAACAAAACAAAGTACACCTCGCGGCTGAATCTGGATCATGCGCTGCCACCCCGCGATCACTGTCAAGTGGTTTTTGACAGGGACGGCGGGGGTGGTGGCGTATGGCATGCTGCGCGCAGGCCCACCACCCGGCAGCGCGCGGCTACTGTCACGTGCGCAGGCGCACCTGTCACTCGGCACGTGCTCCGAAAGTGGCGCACCTGGCCTGGTTATAGTATGCGGCACGCCTGGCGCACGTGGAGCACATGGTGCATCTGGCGCACTAGACGTATTTGGCACACTCGGGCCCCAAGGGTGCATGGCCCGCTTGGCACGCGTGGCGCGCCTGAGGCTCGGGTATTACTTATGCGTTGGGAGGGCGGGTGGGAGTGAGCTAGACTGTTGTCTATCGAGGAAGGTGTCTTGACCACCCCCCCTGTACACCCCCCCGTACCCCGCCCCCGCCCCCCACCGTCAGGGGAGGTAAAAAGGGGAGAGAGAGGATTTAATTACGATGTCTTCTTTCTCTGTTCGTTCCTTTTTCCCCTGGGACTGACGACGACGAAGACGACGTCGAACACGACGATAGCGTCTGCCACACGCCCAAGGGTCGTTGGATTCAATAGGAGCTTGGCTTCTCCCCCTCCTCCCATGCACCTCCCTTCGACCAGCGGCCTCTTTTCGCGCAGGATTTGGGGAGTTCTTCGGCGCCATCTCGATGATGGCGAGCGCGGGTGGAGGGGGGGAGACCTCGAGGAGGCCCAGACCCCCCTCGCCACGAAGCATGACGATATCATAGTTCTATGCTTTGGAATCTGGGCTTTGGGGGGGGGGGCCGTTCCGTGCCACGGGACCGTCGAAAAACGGCACGTGATGTGACATTGGTCTTGGGGATCGGGTCGAGACATCGGGGGACCGACGTCACAGGCGTGACGTCGGAGGTCTGGGGTGGAGGGAGGACGACGGAGGCTAGGGAGGAGGGGAGAGATGAGCAGCATCGGCGGAGAGGGAGGAAGAGGAGGACGGAGGAGGGGGAGGAGGAGGAGGAGGAGGAGGAGGAGGAGGACGGAGGACGGAGGACGGAGGACGGAGGAGAGGAGAAGGAGGAGGAGGAGGAGGAGGAGGAGGGGAGGAGGAGGAGGAGGAGGAGGAGGAGGGAGGAGGAGGAAGCAGGAGAAGGAGGAGAAGGGCGGATGAGAGGGAGGAGGAGGGAGGAGGAGGAGGAGGAGGAGGAGGAGGAGGAAGAGGAGGAGGAGGAGGTGGAGGAGGAGAAGTAGGGTGGAGTCCTCGGTGTGTTAGGGGTGCCTTGAATGTTGCAAGGGCCGGGCCCCATCTGGGGGAGGGGGGGCAAGAGGTGGATCGATAGATGTTGTTGGCTGTGCGCCGCTGCAGGACAAACTCAGGGTCGTGTGCGCTTCCCCCTCCCGTCCCCCCCTGCTTCCCGAAACGAGGGAACGGGCCTCCTGACTGTTGCGCAGGAAAGGTATGTGTCAGAAGTAGGCAGGGGCCATCAAGCCCCGAAAGCAGTGGAACGCGTTCCTATGCGCCCTTCGGTGAAGGTCTACTTTCAGCACCGTCCTACTTCAAGTCTCGACGGCGTTCTTGCTTAGAGAGTAGTGGATTGCCCGAGTGGACCAACACCAATCATGTTGACCGCCTTCCATGTTCATGTTCATACCGTTTTCCATCCTGTGGTGTTGGGTCCTCGTGTTGAAGAGACGGCGCCCCGCGTTCCTCCTTCCTCCTCCCATCCTTCCTCCTCCCTCCCCCTCATCCTTCTCCCCCTCCTTCCATCACCGCCGTCATCATCATCATCATCATCATCATCATCATCATCATCATCATCATCATCATCATCATCATCATCATCACCATCACCATCACCATCACCATCACCATCACCATCACCATCATCCCCATGATCATCATCAGCATCATCATCATCATCAGCAGCAGCATCACCATCACCATCATCATCACCGTGATCATCACCACCATCATCATCGTCGTCGTCATCTTCGTCATCGTCATCGTCATCATCATCAGCATCGTCATCATCATCATCATCATCAGCAGCAGCAGCATCATCATCATCAGCATCAGCATCAGCATCATCATCATCATCATCATCAGCAGCAGCATCATCATCAGCATCATCAGCATCAGCATCATCATCACACAGCTACGTGGCCCCACAGGGAGCTCCACCGAAGGCGCCAGCGGGGGGGTCGCATGCGTCTCCCCACCCAGGACAGCGTTTCGTGGCCCCACAGGGAGCCCCACCGAAGGCCCCAGTGGGGGGGGGGGGGGGCGCATGCGTCTCCCCACCCAGGACAGCGCTTCGTGGCCCCATAGGCAGCTCCACCGAAGGCGCCAGCGGGGGGGGGGGGGTCGCATGCGTCTTCTCCACATAGGACAGCGTTTCGTGGCCTTATGGGAGCTCCACCGAAGGTCCCATAGGGGGGGGCGCATGCGTCTCCCCCACCCAGGACAGCGCTCCGTGGCCCCATAGAGAGCCCCACCGAATGCCCAATGGGGGGGGTCGCATGCGTCTCCCCCACCCAGGACAGCGCTTCGTGGCCCCACAGGGAGCTCCACCGAAGGCCTCAGTTGGGGGGGTCGCATGCGTCTCCCCCGCTCAGGACAGCGTTTAGTGGCCCCATAGGGAGCTCGACCGAAGGCCCCAGTGGGGGGGTCGCATGCGTCTTCCCCACATAGGACAGCGTTTCGTGGCCTTATGGGAGCTCCACCGAAGGCCCCAGTGGAGGGGGGGGGGTCGCATGCGTCTCCCCCACCCAGGACAGCGTTTCGTGGCCTTCTGGGAGCTCCACCGAATGCGTTGCTCACAAAAACGGTACTCACAACTGCATATGGTTGGGTCCTTCGCCAGGCTAATGTTTATACCTTCTTCTTCCAAACAGCATGTAAACTTGTAAGCTAGGTCACCGCCGGGGGCGCGAAAATAACCGCGCGTCGCGGTCCAGCCCAGAGCAGCATAGCGGGGCGCGGTGTTCTGAGTTGGGTGCCCTTTGGCAGGCTTGCGTGCCCCCCCGTCGCTGACAACGAGGATAATGAAGAGGAGGAGGAGGAGGAGGAGGAGGAGGAGGAGGAGGAGGATGGTCGTGGTGATGGGGAGGATGAGGAGGAGGACGAGGAGGATGAGCACGAGGAGGACGAGGAGGAGGAGGAGGAGGAGGAGGAGGAGGAGGAGAAGCAGGAACAGCAGGAGGAGGGAGAGGATGATGAATAGGACGAGGAGGAGGAGGAGGAGGAGGAGCAGGAGGAGCAGGAGGAGCAGCAGGAGAAGGACAAGTAGGATGAGGAACATGAGAAGGTCTCGCGCGCGCTGGTCCTGGCATCGCAGCCAGCTGGCTGCTCGCGCCTTGCGCGCCCGCCGATGGCGGAGTCCGCAAGCTGGTTGCCCGCCTGCCGCGGCGTTGGGCGAGCCAGGTTTCTCCGAGCAGCGCGCGTGCTGCAACGCTGCGGCGACGCCGCGTGCACCGCTCGAACGGGATCGTGCAAGGCTCTCGTGGGGCGGCCTGGCCACCTGGGCCGAGGCGGCCTCCCCTTTCGCAGCGAGATGGAGGAGGACAAGGACTGAGCCTGTCTGCGGTGCGTCTGCGCCCTCTGTATTTCGAGGTGTTGAGATGACATTGACGTCGGTGGCCCACTCGGCATCAGTTTCGGTGTTTCCTCCCCGCGAGCACTCACGCTCTTCCACGCCGACGCGCGCGAATTGGAGGAGGCACGAGTCGGGCAGCACGGGACGTCCTGTGTGGCCTCATTGCTCTTGGGGTGTGCCTGTGCAGTTGGCGTTCTTGGGGTCGCTTCGCACGACGGCTCGACATCGGGGCGGGTGGCGCGAAGTCATCCAGTCTGCGGTCGGCAATGCTTCGAAGTCTGTGAGCTTGGCCCCAAGGTCCCGAGGTAGGAGGGACCCATCCCTGCATACCTCACGTCCTCATTCATCAAGGCCTCATGCCTCGGAAAGGGTAGCACATTCGAAAACCTGATGGTCCGATTCCTGATCAGGAACATCCGGCTCCTCTACTTCAACTTCGAAAACAGACGTATCTTAGCTTTCTGATGCGCTTTGGAACTCGTCAGGCGCTACGCGTGGAGTAAACAGATGTGTTTGCCGCTGACGCCAACACGATGCCTAGCTGCACTGACTAGCGTAACGTACCGTTGCCACCCCTCATCAGGACGTTCGGTGCGTCCGACTCATATTCCGTGGCGTCAGCGTCATTCACCGCAGTGCGCCTTTGAATTGCCAAGGCGTAGTTGAGAATAGCAGTACACGCGCGGATTGATTGAGTGTTCATGCGGGTGTCGTTGATGTTGACATTGAAGTGTATCGTTCCCCTTTCGCGCGCTACTTCGACAACAAGCACACTCAGTCTCTTGTCGATGTGAGGAAACGTCGCTGCGTTGGACTCCTGCCCAGGTTAAGCGGTGTCGATTGCACCAATCTTGATCAATGGCTTCCCACCAGCCTTCTCGAAAAATGAGGAGGGGTCCCAGGTAGGCGGCGTCCGTTACGCCATATTGGGACTCTGCCATGTTGCCTGTCAATTCGACGTCGAACGACATGAATTCACCTGGATCGTTCTTTTAATATTTGTTTTTTGAGTGTCCTTGCCTTTTTTTTCCGAGAGATCCTGTCAGCCGTCAACGCGGTGGTTGAAACACCTGGAACGACGTACGATCGAGCGTGGTGTGAAGGCGGGCGTCGGGCTTGGTGTCGTCAGCCCACGCCTTCTGATGCTATATGGCCTGCGGTTCATGTCGCCATCCGGGGCCAGTTATGGTTTTCCTCCAAGGTGCTGGGGTCTTTGATCACGTGCGCATCGTGTTTGCCGAGGTGATTCACATCTAGAGGTTCATGCAAGCCGCCCCGAAGTTGCGCCATAGCCCCCGATACCGTATGGACTTGGAGGATATGTGCCTAAAACGTTGATTTGAAACACTCAAGTGTTGGAGGATCGAAGGGACCTTATGAAGCTCCGCCCAGTAGTACCTCGCGATGCGGTGGCGGATTCGGAGGGTGGATGGGGAGGATGAGGTTGCGGGGGAGGGGAGGTAGAAAAGAGGGAGGGGGAGGGAGGGAGGGAGGGAGGGAGGGAGGGAGGGAGGGAGGGAGGGAGGGAGGAGGAGGAGGAGGAGGAGGAGGGAGGAGGAGGAGGAGAAGGAGGAGGACGAGCGGGTGGATGCGGTGGAGCAAACGGAACAGAGAGGTTATGGAGTTGGTGGGAACCCACGGAGAAGGAGGACGGAAGAGGAGGAGACGATGTCGGAAAGGTGAACTACGGATGAGGGGTTTGTTGGTGGAGGGAGGAAGCGGAGGAGGAGGAGGAGCAGCAGGAGCAGGAGCAGGAGCAGCAGGAAGGTGGGACGGATGTGGAGGAAGGAGAAAAGCGACGGGGAGAAGGATGTGACCTTGAAGGATCGTGGGATGGTGAAGACCCGGCTACAGCATCTGGGGTGGGTGCAGGAGGGAAACGGGAAAGAGAGGAGGAGAGAATGCGATGATCGGCGGTGGGAAAATGGTACCGGGGCCGCAGCGAGTGGGCGGCAGAGCCGATGGGGGAGGAGCAGCCCACTATACTGGCAGCAGCATGTACATGCCCCCCCCCCCTTCCTGTCCTCCCCATCGTCCTCGTCGTCGTCGCCCTCTCCCTCTCCCTTCTCGGGAGTTTTTCGCAGACGCATCTCGCGCGGGAC